TATCTGTAAGCAAATTTCTAAAACTTGATTCCTTTAACTGACAAAATATACAAGTTTCTAATCATTTACTCAGCTCTAACTTCACATGTATTCTGATCTGCACTTTCACAGATATTTTACAAACAATTAAGGTTTCAAAATCAAACATATTGTCATTGAGAACGGATTTACGTTTGGAGGTTTCAAGTTATCCAGTTGGTAAGGCATGGGTAGGTATAGGAATGGCTCAGTGTGGGTAGTTGTCCAGTTCCTATTGTGTACCCTATGTAGGACACAAAAGTTCAGTGTTACATTGTACATACCATTAGAAGCCAGAATCTACAATGATCTAACAAACCTGTAAGTGATCCAGTGACATTTTACAAAGGCTATGAAATAAGCAGCTGTTATTTTGCATACTTGCCCCCTTCCATTAAGTGAGATTAATAATTCCATGTCTGAATGCCCAAATATATCAGAGTGAAATTTTCTGTGCAAGTGTTCATAAGTTCATCACTTTATTTTGGGGTTGGCTTTTTCATGTAAGCCTGTAACAAATACTGTCAAAGAGTATTGTTACAAAACATGACACTTAAATGTGACCATCAGGCAGTGAGAACATATTTTAACCGTGCTATTACCATTCAAACCATGTACATTCAATATCCCGGTGTCAGGGGTTTTCAACAATGTAAGACAAAAACATAATTTTTATCTTTACTATCATCTAAAGTTTTTATTTTACTAACCTTGAGTGATAAAGGATACACATGTATTCATCTATTTCACACAAAAATATTAAGTGTTTCCTTCAAAAATAGCTTTGATGACATCATATCGGCAAAACTTTTGCGGCTCTCCACATCCAGGGATTTTGTATGGGTTTTCGACGATGAGCCATACTTTTTGCTCTGCACTGCGAGGGAGTGTTGTGATCATGTGGCTTCCTATTTATATATTGCCTGTCACTAGCAGTCAACTGATCTTATTGAATTTTCGCTTGCTATCTTTTGTTATAAAGGCAACTGATTTTGCATCTGAAGTGGTATTAACAATCTAGGGTAAATAATATTGATGTTTGATTACTTTTTATATGACTTAACTTCCCGATTTCCATTGTCAATAAAACTTCTCATGACAGCGACTGGGCATCCCCCCAACTGATGAAACTGCTTGTGCACTCAGATCACACACGTACTCACCCGATATAGCGCGAGCAATGCAATCATGGAATTCAGCTGGTTTGGGGATATTTGTCAACGTCGGTTATGAGGGGTCCGAGTCAAAATGGCCACACGACAAAATGGCCACAAAATGTCCAAGTCAAAATGGCCAAAAAAAAGTCAAAATGGCCACAGCAAAAAGTCAAAATGGCCATAGAAAAAGTCACAATGGCCACACATTATTTTTTTAATTCTTTAATATGCCTAACATTTGTATTATTTGATATCAAGGTGTAATGACAAAAGAAGTTATATCAGACAAAACAAATCATATTTTCAACAAATAACAAATATATATGTATGTTCTTTTTTCATGTACATGCACTTTTTAAATAATTACGTTTACAGGACAGATAGACAGTATTATTAATACTAAATACTGTCTTTTACAAGACATCCCTGCAGATCCCTGTTTCCAAGTCAGAAACTTGATCATTCCAATGGTCCGGTCAGCTGGGCACACACGCGGAGAAGTTCTGTGGGGCTCAGCTTTCCGTCCTTGTAGAGATGCCAATCTGCGAAAACCTCCTCCTGGTTACGGGGGCTGTCTTTCTGGTGAATTTTCGCAGCTTGCCGTCATGGAGGAGTCTCATGTGAATGTCAACCTGGCGTGCCTCCTTATGCCGGGCTTCGATGAGCTTATACAGGCCGAGTGTTCTCTCCCCATTGCGAGAGTTTATTCGCCGGTTCCATCCTACAACACAAATACCCACATTTTAAGTGTTATTCTTCTCAATGTCAATTTTCAATAAACTTATATGATTATAAAATTTTAATTTAATAAATATATTTTATAATTCTCTGATTTACAATGTATAATTCTACAATTTATAATCACTTACCTGCAGACCAAACGCTTGACATTTCCTCCAGATGGCCTGGGTGAAGTGAAATACACAGCCATGTATGCTCTGACCTCGTTGTATCGCGGCATTCATGGTATCGCGGCAAATGGTATTTCGGGTTTTCTCCTAGCGGTGAAGGGGCGGTGGGGTAGCCTAGTGGTTAAAGCGTTGGCTCGTCACGCCGAAGACCCGGGTTCGATTCCCCACATGGGCACAATGTGTTAAGCCCATTTCTGGTGTCCCCCGCCGTGATATTGCTGGAATATTGCTAAAAGCGGCGTAAAACTAAACTCAGTCAGTCAGTCCTAGCGATGATTTGCATATGTAAATCGACAGCCAGACGTCAGTCGCTTGTTTACTTTTTAGAAACCAGCAGGATGTATCAAATCTTCGTAAGTATTAACCAGCAGAAATATTAACATTCAACTCTGAAATCTTTTGGAATCTGTCTGACCCCCATCCATGAAATACATGCTGTAGTATTTACATGTCGCATATGACCTTCCCACTCGATTTGAACTAGGTCGTCTGCATCTCATTGTTATATAAGGTAGCGGATGTGACGTCATGAACTTTATTTATCTCCCGGTGAATACCAAATGTTGTACTTCAAATAAGGACAAAAAGCGTAAAATGATCCCTGTTCAATGAAAGCGATTTTGCACACTTTAACAACATAGAAATTTAGAAAGCATTTTATCATACTGTTGTACACATAATTATTTATTTATTTTATCACATTATTTCAAATGATATTTTGCATTGAAATATGTTTGAAATCATGCCTAAAATAAATAAAAAATGAAACAGTATGAACTTATATTAACAAATTCATGATGAAAATGATATATTTTGGAAGTTTGGTGTTTTCCTTGAATAAAATTTTATAATGGATACTGTTTTTGTGCACCTTGGTTTTAAAAAAATAACTCAACTGATTTCACATAAGGTGAGTTAAGCAATTTCATTTTTTGTGCCCTACTTCGTCTTGCAATCCGAGTTTTAATGTTTACCGCGATACGATGGAGTTCTTTCCTTTGGTAAATATTAAACGGCTTCGTTCGTCTAATGGCTCTAACACGCTGAAACACTATCAAAGTTAAAATAATATTTTTTTCACAAATGTTTTGATTAAATGCCATGTTAATCGGATATAATAATATACCCTTACTCTAAACCCTAACCCTAACCCTAAGGATCGTAAAGGGAGCAGCGAGGGCTGCGCCCGGTAAAGTGCATTCTAGCCAATAATAAAATAGGCCTTAAAAATTCACCATTTTATTTCCGATCACGGATATGTCAAGTACCGCGATACAACGAGGTCGCAGGCTACTTTCACATTTGACAAAACTCGGTCTAGGGCCAACCAGGTAGCTGACGCGAAATCCATTGTTATACGCATCAAGTTTTCAGATGGCCATTTTGACTTTTTGCTGTGGTCATTTTGACTAGTAGGGGTTGAGGCCATTTTGACCTTTTTGTGTGGCCATTTTGAATGGGTCAGTGTGGCCATTTTGTCGTGTGGCCATTTTGACCTGTTCCCGGTTACGAGTGCCACAATCATGAATTTGAAAATCAGACTTTGACAGTCGACCTCAAAGGCAAACTTGGACTCTTTTCGATTAATTTTAACCTGGTCTCCCCAAGAGGTCTAAGATGAAACATAGAAAGTGAACACGAACTTGCAGGGGAGTCCAGTTATTATCTGCGTGTTCCTGTCTGGAATTACTTATCTATGTCATGCCAGTTAACATTTGCTCGAAGTGCCTTAACGGTATATCAAATACTCCTAAAATCTGACTCGATGGAGAAGTGTTTATTTCAGCTAGTATCACTACATCATTCTTATGTTGGGTTTAGCAAGTTCGCGTAAAATATGCGCTAACAATACCCACCACCAATGAAAACTCTCTCAAAACGATAAGCTATTACCTTTTAAGTTTAGTCCAGGTATCACACATTTCATGTTGTAGCTTTTCTGTAAGTTTAAGTAATAATAAATTGAAACTGAAGCAGTTAGAGATTTTATAAATTTGCAAATTCCCGCAAAAGTCATTTTGCCATCCATGTTGATTATGGGTGCAGGCTAAAACGTCACCGCAGCAAAACGGCACCAGGCGAAAACGGCACCATTTGGACATAACGGAACCTCGACTTGGCGAAAACGGCTACAAATCTTATGGTGAAAACGGTACCAAATAAAATCCTAATTATTGGGAAAATCTTATTTGTCATTAGATAATCTGAATACAGAATTTTGGAATGCGTCTACTCTGCCGACAGTGATTGGAAAGTTTGTGTTAGCTGATAATCGGATTCCAGTCAGTGGATCTCCCATTGTATATTCACCCCCCGCACCTGGTCAGTCTTCAACATCGCAGTCAGGACAAACAACTTTGTTGAAGGTATACATTTCTTAATAAAATACAAAGATTAATAACTTAAAATAAATTATTACTGAATATTATACTATTTTTGCATTGTCAGGTTTCAATTTTTATAATGTTACGTAAAAATATGTTCTTCTTTTCAGGCTGGCACAAATAAGCATCCGGCCAAATATGGACGTTGACGTGTGAACATGTGTTATCTTGTTATCTTGTTATTTTAATGTAATGGGTGATTGAGTGAGTTATGATTTTACGCCGCTTTTAGCAATATCCCAGCTATATCACTTGTTATAATCTTGCTAATTTTATGAAATGAAATTAAAACCATAAGTCAACGTCATACTGTGTTTTTTATATGTTGATTCTAATGTTATAATTAAACGAACTAAAACATAAAAGTCAACATCATACTGTGTTTTGTATATGGTGCCGTTTTAGCTCAGAAATCAGTAGCCGTTTTCGCCAAACGATTTTGGTGCCGTTCTGCTGTGGTGCCGTTTTAGCTATAACCCGTTGATTATACAGACTGCGTTTGTTACGCGTCATTCCATTGGCCAGTCAATACCAATCAACAGTAGGTTTACAGAACGTGCACTTGTCACATGAGAGGGAAGTTGTGTTTCTCTGTAGCGTTTAGGAAATAACCGGTGTGAAATAACGACGACCACAGAGCAAAATGGTAATGTATTTTTGACAACGACTGCTCTAACATTACCGCCATGTAAATATATTATAACTATTCTGTGCGCGTCTTTGCCAAGTCAACTGTAGATCTACATCAAAGAGGGTTGGTTAGATATTTTCTGAAAACTGAAGGGGGAGTGTCTGTTAACATTTGACGTGCAGCTTTATTATGCTATGATAGTAATAGTTATATTGTCACTGTTGTCATTATTTACGTTAGCTGTTAACAACTCAGTGTGGTGTGGTAGCGATGCAGTTTACCGGACACAGCTTGCAACAGCGCTAATTTATTGGTTCAGGCAGCTGACACCAGTGACAGTGACTCCAGCTTCACATAGAGCTCACGTCTCAATCCATACGGTTAGTTGTGTAAGCGAAGGTTAGCCCAAACCCTATCCTTAGCCAATGGATCTTCTTTCCTAGCATTCTTTGACAATCAATTGCTAATGCTACCCCTTTCCGACCAAACAGTCTTGTAGACATCCTCATGGTTGAACACTTCCTACCAATCAAACACCAACTTACAAATCTAAGGGTTAGCTGTCGCTTTTAAAGCATTAATCCGATGTTATTTGATGAAACTTTCCTCCATGGTTATTAATTCTGAGTTTCATGGAGAAAATGGCTATTGTAAACAGTACAATGCAAGTGACATAAGCAGGTGTAGCAGAGCGTGGAGTCATCCCATACGGAAGACCACAGTGACGTCAGTGTTTTGATCACGTGACGCGCCCGAGTACTTCCGGTAGGCAGAAGGTAACCATAAACATGAGAGAACCACACAAGCTGCACTCATTTGATCGTCGACTTTACATACATAACAACTCTTCCCGGTCTGTTTTATTGGCTTGACACTCAGTGCATCTTCAATCACCAGAATTGTCCTTGTGACGATAGACACATAACAATATTATGTTATTGTTATGACATACTGACATTTTATAATATCTCCCCGTGTTAGAACATTATTCGAAAATCATCGCCCGCGAGAACCATTCACGACTTGAATTTGTAAAATAAAGATCTACGCACCGGCGGCAACATTGAAGGACAAAATGTACAAGCGCAAGCAAAAATGCCAACTTCTGTTGAAAACAGCAAACAATAACGAATTGAAGGTGACTGAAAACTTAATTCTATTATATATTTGGATTTTACGAGAATTTGAATCACCTTAGAAAATGTATCAATGGTCGTTTCCAACTCGTGCCTATTTTACCTCCATGAGTGCCATGCCCTCGTGCTTTCCTGCGAAGTTTGGGCACGCCTTACAGCGTCACCCACGGCTGTCAACAATGTCAGTGTGGGAAGGTTTATCCAACAAAATCATTATAAACTTCGATAAATATGATAATTTTGTTACAAAGACAATACCATTTACCTTATCAGACCATGTAATTAATTCCAAACGAAAACTGTTGGATCTATCAAAAGGATGGCACATTTTTTCGGTATCCGCGATGCATGTGGAGTTGTTTGTTTACCACCGTTGCAATGATCGTTCCTATTCGTCCAATCGGTGATGTAACATTGAGATTGTTTTTGTTTATAAATAATTAAACCGAAAGTTACTAATTTTTAGGAAATGGGAAACTTCAGTGTTTTCTCTTGACCAAAGAACAAAAATACTGATCAAATCATTAAAAAAAATAATTCATTATGAAGAAATATTAGACAGGGTACCACTCGACGTGATGTGCCTGAAGTAAAAAATGGCCATTATTTGCGGGTGTGTACCGAGAATTTTGGTGAACAAATCTTTAGTTCGCGGACGTTTCGTTTTAAGGTACATAAACTAATCGAAGATTATATATTTAGAAACCTGAGAATTAATTCATTCCATTCAAAATTCAAATGACATGTAAATCCGACTTGTTCAATAATTATTGCAAGTTTTATTTGGGGATGTCATTATGCAGCTCTCCTGTCGAATGGGTTCGACAGTAGCATTGAGAGGATTAAGTACATAATCCGATCATTGTTTGCTTTTTACGCTACACCGGTTCTCATTGTTATCGTCAGCCATTGTTGCTTTCTGCCTACCGGAACACGAGTGAGCGTAGTTCGTGAGGTCACTTCCGTAAACATATGGACTTTCCTATAGAATAGATGTCATCCTTACACAAGCATTAATTATTTCTGATAGTTCCTGAGGTCCCATGGTAGTGTGTTAGGTAATTAGATACATTCATTGGGCTAGCTTAGCTTCAACATGGCAGCATGAGTTTGATCCTCCAAACTGCATTGAAATCCAGAAAAGTGTGCCTGGTAAAGTGCACTGCTTCCATCATGCCCTGAAGGTACTAAATGTATTCTAAGATGAAATGTTATTTCATTTGACAAACAGGTCACAACAGCTGATTAGAATAATAAACATCATCATATCATTGAAATCAAATGACATTGTTTCTCTTTTTCAGTTGGTTCTTGTATTAGGAGATCTACATATTCCTCACAGATGTAACAATCTGCCTGCTCGTTTCAAGAAACTTCTTGTGCCCGGAAAGATACAGCACATCTTATGTACAGGGAATCTCTGCACTAAGGATTCTTTTGATTACCTCAAGACACTAGCCAGTGACGTGCATGTTGTCAAAGGAGATTTTGATGAGGTGAACTTGTCCTTTAAATTCTATCCTGTCCTTCAATGGCTATCTTGGCTTAGTGGTTCATCATGCCGTATGATAATTGGGTTATTGTTTATATGTCATGACAGTTATCATTTACTTTGTGTATTGATCTAAATCATTAAGATTGAGTTAGGACATATCCAACATAATCAGGCAATGTCTTATCCTATCAGCAGCAGTTCAGTATTAATGGCTCCTGCATGGGTGAGTGAGTGAGTTAGTATTTAACGTCACCTCGGCAATATTTCAGCCATATAGTGACGCTCCTGCATGGACCTAATTATATTGTATAATAATACATGTTTTGGGGCCACTCAATTATAACACTTAAAGCTTAAAGGCCAGGGTTTAAAACCAATGCACATTTGGGTTGTGGCACATTGCCTGTGAAAGCTGCCTTTCGATGCAAAGCAAAGCAGTATTCAAGTACATTCCATGAAATATTACAAACTTGACTTACTGTTTCATAATGATATTAATTTCGAGGCAGACAGTCTACAAAGCATACAATCTGAAAATATATTTCTCTTTTTGAAATCCACATTTGAATTTCCCAATTCATCAGTCAGGTGGCCAGAGGAGGTAAGTTTCGATAACAACAATTCTGCTAGTAGAGGTAATGTTTCATTCAGAGTTTCATATTTCAGTTTTTCCAGGCGTGCTGTGAAAATGACAGAACTATTATAATATATCATATTGCAAATTGTTAGTAGCTATTACTATCAGGTTTGTCTGCTGCATCAGGAATAGATATATCATCATCATCATTATCAGAGTCCTCAACGATGCCAGTCAACTGCTACAGCACGTCTCTGTCATATCACAGAGGCTCAAATTCCCAACAACCATCGTCTATTCAATAGAAGCTGGAATAACCACATTGGCTATGTGTGCCCTCTTCCAAATGCTGACTGTATAATTGACCCACGTATTTTGTGACTTACTTTTGACATGGAGGTGGATGTCTGATGTCATCATTGCGAGATGGGTCAGGGAGACAGTCTTTGGAACACAGCTCATTTATTTTGTGATCTCGCCAACAAAGTACATATATATATCAACTCATGAAGTTCATCCATGAGGTCAATGTATATCAGAGGCCAAGATAAGCTGCGTATCCGGGTAAAATACGCATAGAAAATTTCCAATTACGTATTGAAAAATAATTGTTGCGTACCAATTACGCATTTAAAATGATAAATACGAAAAAAGTTTAAAACAAATGCGTACGGAATATATTTATAAAAATCGCTTGCGTAATGAAAAATACATCGATTGCTATCAAGTTGTACTGTTAGTATAGGAAAAGTGTTGTACTGTCAGTATAGAATGAGTGATTTTTTATGAAATCATTTCCATTATAGTTAAGTTTGTTTTCATTAGGTATGACATCAGGCAGAACATACCTGCTTAGTAAACTTACTCAATGAAATAATACTTAGGTGAGTAAAATGACTGAAATACGCACATATTTGAAAGCAGTCGGTAATGGAAAATGAAATACCCACTCAACATTCATAATACCCACTCCAAAAATATACCGTGGGTACAGTACCCACATGAGCTAAATCTTATCTGGAGCTCTGGTATATATAATAATAATAAGTCATCTTCTATAGCGCACAGTCTCCAAACACCAAGTGATTGCTCGAGGCGCCTAATCAGAATCTGATAATTATTACCCCGGATAACCCAAGCTGCCTATTAAGAGCTAGAAGGTTATAGTCACATGACTTTATCCAACCGGGTACCCATTTTCTGTTTGGTGAACAGAGGCAATTTTGAACAAACCCACTTGCCTAAGGTCAGACCACATGTATCACATGTGCTTCATTGTGGGGCAGGACTGAAGTCCTAGAAACTCTCAGGAGTCAAGCTGCCAAACACAGTCACCCATCCAAGGACTGTCTTAGCTCGACATTGCTTAACTTCAACTGATTCCTGACCTGAGCTCTGTGCACCGGACCACACACACCACCAGAATGGTATATCCATGTTTCCCCCAACCTGTCTGGAAGTGGCACGAATTTGGGCATCTTTGACAACACCTTTCAGAAGTTTTTACCTTCCCATATCCCCTGAAGGCACTCTTAGTATCATGACCCATGAAGACCCGGGTAGAATTGATCTTCAGCAACCCATGCTTGTCGTAAGAGGTGACTAACGGTTAGCTCGCTGACTTGGTTGACACGTCATCGGTTCCCAATTGCGCAGATCGATGCTCATGCTGTTGATCACTGGATTACTTGGTCCAGACTCGATTACTGCCGCCATATAGCTGGAATATTGCTGAGTACGGCGTAAAACTAAACTCACTCACTCACTTGGTATCACAACCATTGTATGCATGCAGAGCCGTCAGCACAGTACAGTGTTACTGGGAATGGGACAGTAAAAGTTCCTGACTTTGACCATACTTTTCAAGTTACCAGAGATCTATGAACCTTAGTAATAGTAGATGATGGCCGAATAAGAAATGTTGCAAACGTGCCTTATTTTTTCAGTGTAACATTAAGCATTACAGACTGAGCATGTATTTGATGTTAAGTTTATTTGTTTGTTGTTTAACACCACACACAGTAATAATCAAATCTGGACCAGACAATCCAGTGATCAACTTCATCAGCATCGATCTACTCAATCGGGATACAGTGACATGTCAACCAAGTCAGCGAGCCTGAACCCCTGATCCTCTTACGACAAGCATGGGTTTTTGAAGACCAATTCTAGCCTGCATCTTCACGGTGTTGATGTTAAGTAGACATGCTGAACATGTTAATATTGAATCATTATGCATTCTAATATGTGGTAATATAAAACGTTTTGCTTTTTTTTCAACAGAATTTGAATTACCCTGAACAAAAAGTTGTAACAGTTGGGCAGTTCCGCATTGGTTTGTGTCATGGCCACCAGGTGGTGCCGTGGGGTGACACTGAAGCACTGGCAATGGTCCAGCGGCAACTGGATGTCGACATCCTCATCTCAGGTCATACACACAAGTTTGAAGCGTTTGAACACGAGGGGAAGTTCTTCATTAACCCAGGATCAGCTACAGGGGCTTACGGTCCACTAGATAGGTGAGTGATGCCAGACCCTATAGGGGGATTTATATTGATCTCCACAATGGTAATAACAAATTAGCCACTTATATATAGCCAAACTCCACGCTGCAGGGACATGCTCTAAGGGCATGCAACATGATAGACATTATTACCCCTGATAACCTGAGCAGCCTGTGGTGGCACTAGAAGGTTAATAGTCACATGACTTATACCACTCAGGCCCTGGGTACCCATTTTCTGCTGGGTGAACAGAGGCAATTTTGAACAACCTCACTTGCTTAAGGTGAGACCACATAGGTGCTTCGTTGTGTGGGGCAGGACAGAAGTCTTAGAAACTCTTAGGAGTCAAGCTGCCAAACACGGTCACCCATCCAAGACTCCATGACTAATGTTGCTTAGCTTCACCTGATTTGTGACCTCGATGCACAAGACCAAACACCACCACAATCCAGATTTAGATCAAAGCAAAGCTCACGATTAATTCCCAAACATGTCACAAATGATGCTATCAAGCTCTTTATATCTCCACAGGGGGCGGTGGGGTAGCCTAGTGGTTAAAGCGTTCGCTCGTCACGCCAAAGACCCGGGTTCGATTCCCCACATGGGTACAAAATGTGAAGCCCATTTCTGGTGTCCTCCACCGTAATATTGCTGGAATATTGCTGGAAGCGGCGTAAAACTAAATTCAGCCAGCCAGTCAGACATCTCCACAGACAGGGCTGAGGTGACTTGTCTTTCACATTTCACGACCATCGAGGGGCATCAATGATCAGTTTAATGTTATTACATTGAATGCAATGTTAACATACCATAGGTACCTTTGATAATTTTGGAAAATACAAACTTGAATTAACTTTAATCAAATGTCAAGTTAGGACCTTGGCTTATCTTTTTAACAAAATAATTATTTCATCCTCAAAATGAAAACCTCGTTTGTACAGACCTAAGTATAGGCTTTACTGTTAGAAACATGTAACATGCAGGGGTGTGCAGTATTATCAGTATATCTGTTTATTGAGCTTCATTCTTTCCACGGTACATATCACAATATTATTTTTTTATGTTTGGTGTATCGGATGATTTCAAATATCAAATTTTATCATTTGTTTAATGTTATACACTTACCAAACACCATCAAAATCTGAGAAACAGATAAAGGAACCCTGCCATGAAGTGGTGTTCCCTTATTTGGTTCCCAGTATATATCCATCACTATATATATATGATGTAATTGTGTTTTTCAGTGAAATAATTCCATCGTTTGTGATCCTGGACATCCAGCAGTCCAATGTGGTGGCGTACGTCTACAAACTCATAAATGACGATGTCAAGGTGGAGAGGATAGAGTACAAGAAGTCATAAGAAGACATTAGTCACTGCATATTGGGTTTTGCTCCTATGATATTTAAAAATATAAAACCTGGAAGTGGTGCCTCTGTGGTCAGATCGGATTTACAGGCTGTTTGTCAGATGTAAATAAACACTTTAACACAGTACCTGTCGTGGTAGTATGTTGGACAAGTCTCAATAAATCTATCAATGTGAATCATGGATACCCTTCTTTAACAGATTAGATAACTCTAAACCTTAATGTATCAGACGACTTTCTGTTGTTTTTGTAGATTGATTCTGGCCAGGAATTCACATTCCATTCTGAACTTGTTTGGAGGAGGAGGAATCACTTTATTCGACAGATTTTCACGAATTTCTCAATAATGTCCTCGGTAGTTTTACAGCTGAAACTGAGTGTTTTGTTGCAGTACTTGATAGCTACTAGGCCAGCAATGATTCACCCAGACCTCTATATGATTCGATTTTCGATATTTGACTCTTGATTCTATTCTATATACAAGTAAAAGCATTAGATTTCATTTAACTCTCAGAGTCGGCTTTTTAGCATGAAATCCACCGTCAACTTGGTGATGTCTGCTAACAACAATTCTCATTGGATAATTAGTCTGACATCAACCAATCACGTTTTGCCTTATTTCAGCGCTCAAAACTGCCCGAGTGGAAATGATTTAAATAGGTAATCAAATATCGAATCGAAATAGTGATAATGGTTTTCGAAAATCGAAACTAAGGTGTCAGATTCGATTTTTGATGAATTGAACCGAATCATTGCAGCCCTAATAGCTTCATGGCCTGAGTTACTGATAGTATTCGTGCCAAGGCCCCTGCTCCACAATCAGTCATAGCTCTATGATGATCAGGTCTCTTTGCAAAACAGAACCTAGGCCCATTTCACAAATTGATCATAGTGCTATGACTTACCTCATACCTTGTTACCTTGATTTATGACAGTTGATCATAGTGCTATGACTTACCACAGACTTAGGATGGTCATAGTACTGTTACGATCATACCTCCTAACATAGACTTATGACAGTTGCACCACAATGACTGTCTAACCTCTTAACATAGACTTGGCACAGTTGCAGCATTATTGGTTTTTTTCAGGCTCTTTACTCATAAATTTTATTCTAGCTTATTTTGATGTCAGCGTAGATTAAGGCCCTTAATGCCATGTAACTTCAGAATTTTTGTTTTCCATTAAAGTAGGAATGTTTTTAAAGCATTATTTTGTAAGTTGAAGATGATGGCATGTATTTGATTTAGATAGAACATTATGAATAACCTGATAACTGACTGCTCCAGCAATAGTTGGCTTTATTTACATTAAATTGTTACCATAGCAACTCAATCTGTAGTTAGTAGTGTAGGGAGCAAGGAGCAGTACTGTTTTCCTTGTAACACACCTGTGTCACATCCATGATTATCCAGTGTATTAGGGTGGTGGGGTAGTCTGGTGGTTATAGAATAATAATAGAATATTGCTAAAAGCGGTGTTAAACTATACCCACTCACTCACTCACTCACTCTCCAATGTATTACATCTACCATCCATCATGTTTGCTTTGTATGGTTTTATACTGCTTTTAGCAATATTCCAGAAGTTTCTCAGCAGGGGACACTAGAAATAAGCTTCACAGTATAGTATACATGCCCTTGATTTGATGAATGAAACACTTTAACCTCAAGGCTACCTTGTGACTTGAATTGCTGCATTTACATAGAATTGGGAACATCTTCGGACTTGATTTCAAAACACACCCTGTATGAATCCTCATGTCAAACTGTTTTTCTGAAGTTGTAATTTTACATGTGTATTGTTTTGTTGATTTTAAGCTGTTGAGTGAGCTGCAATTTTAAATGTGGATGTGTGCTGCATGATCATGTTGATTTTTAAGCTGTTGAGAGGGAAATTCAGTGTTAAGCGACAAGTGGAGGTAGTGACATGACTAGTCAAATACGACATTACAGGTGGCCCAGTCATCTAAGGCTGCCATTTGCTGTGTGGAGTTACATCCCCTTGGCACATCAGGAACCAATGATTGTGGGTTCGCGATTTTTGTCTATAGGTCCTTTTGTGTTGATAGGTTAGCTCAGCACCATACCAATGCTTGTTGGTTCCACTAAAATGGTAAATGTCTGAGATCTGCATGATGCAATTCTGGCGTTCCTGTTTTATGAAGCTGACACACAATGGTATAATTTATGCAATGTTTAATGGGGCATTAAACCAAATTCACTCAATCACTACCAAGAGGAAGCAATGGTGGGGACAATCTTTGGTGAAAGGAGGGAGATAAGATGGATAATCAAGGATGTGACCCCACTCACTTGTGCACATAATTGTTAATTAGTTCATTTTGATGTTTGTGCTAGATATATTCATACTGTTTTAGCTTTTCATTACCCAAACATGTGTTGTAAGCTATCAGCCCATTAGTGGTTGTTTCATTCTCTTCCCACAGAGGTTATTCCTGTCATATCTTCCCACGTAACATAGAAGGAGTAGCCTCTGTGGGAAGAAAATGTGGTTGTTTGTGTTCGGCAAGTCTTGAACAAAGGTGTACATACTTCTGTTGTGCATAATTTTCTGGCAATACGAAGTGCTTGGCAGAGTTGCTTCCCTTAGGAGTAACAGGATCAGATCATCCTTGTCAGAACCATATGTGTGGGTGGTAAAGACCTGTATCACATGCATTACTCAATATCAAGCTGTCAAGATGTGGTGTAACTGTAATACTGTCCAAAGTAAGTGTTAGACACAGCTCACTCTTGTTTCAAGAGGTCTACACTGGTAAAACTCAGTTTTGCACAAGTAGAAATCTGGTGAACTCTTTAGACATGAACCTTCAACTGAATGGTGAGACTAAGGTCCATCTGTTGAATACATGTTGTGTACATTTCAAATATAAAGTATTGTGATTCTTCATTGTTATTATATAAGCTGAGTAAGTAAATATATATAAGAACCTAAACGTTTGTTATTGTTTGTTCATCATGAAAGTGATAACTGTGTAGCGGTAGTCTCTTTAATTATCCTAGTTGGGAGTTATCCCCCCTTAGCGCTTTGTTTCTTATAGTGTAATCCCCATAATGGCGAATCCCATGTGCGCTAACAAAGGAGTGTAACCAAAACCAAATTAAGAATTAACCAACGTTTTTACTCTAACGAAAACATGAAAGTGTTCTTACAGAGGGTAAAATTAACAAACATTCAATGAGCATTTTCCGTAAAAGGAAATTTCAACAAAGTATGTATGAGTATATGGATTCTTGAACTTGTGAACGAAGACAAATAAACCTCCCGTGAATAAATATAAGGACCTTTGATGTTTGAGATCATGTTTTATTCCGAAAGCGAACCACGGCAGTTACAAACTGATTTATAGTACCTAGTATATTTGTTTCTGATTGGTTACTGACAATGCTGTATGGACAGTTATTATCTTTGTTCCCAGCTGAACATCCATTTTATCTCTTTTGGACATCTTCTTTATCTCTTACAGTAACCTTTCACTGACCCCTAGATCCATTCCTCTGGTTTCTCAAACTACCCGCCCTTGATTTGCATTTGCCAATCTGATTGGCTATGCTGCTAGATCTAACATATCAATCAGAAAGAATACCAATCAGTGTTGGTGGCACTGTCAACAACATGGCATCGACCTCATGAAAAACATGGGAATAGATGCAGGGGTCCTATAGTTTTACCCCAAAGGGAGGCCAGTTTTACAGAATGCCTGCTGATAGATAAGGTACAAATATTATATTCTCACAAGGGTACAATATGTGAAGCCCATTTCTGGTGTCCCCCGCCATGATATTGCTGGAATATTGCTAAAAGCGGCGTAAAACTAAACTCATTCACTCACTCCATGCAGAATATGTTTATTGTTGGAATATTAAAGAGTAAATTGCACAGACTGTAACTATGTTCAAATGGCTCCATGTATTTTCCCAAACCTGAAGATTGATCATTTAAGCCGTGAGTGCATTGCTCTGTTATATGGCTTTTCTGTTTCCGAAGTTGTACTGCATTGGTCATGTGTTTTCCCAGACTGGAAATGATGTTTCTAAGCCAGCGTGAGTGAGTATGGTTTTACGCCAGTTTTAGCAATATTTCAGCAATATCACAGCAGGGGAGCACCAGAAATGGGCTTCACACATTGTACCCATGTGGGGAATCGAACCCGGGTTTTCGGCATGACAAGCGAACACTTAGGTGGGAAAATGCTAACATGAACAAAAACTGCTAAGACTGTTCTTCAGCAACCAATGACTGTACTAAGAGGCGACTAACAGGATTATTTGGTCAGGCTCGCTGACTTAGTTGTTGCATATCAATATATCTCTGTTATGTAGGTCAATGCATCACTGGATTGTCTGGTCCAGACTTGGATCATTTAGAGACCACTGTCATATAGCTGGAAACTTGCTGAGTGTGGCATTAAACAACAAACAAACAAAGGAAAGGAGAAATACTTGCTTTCAAATACAAGAGAAATTTTCGTGTCTTGAAAAAATATTTATTATCAGAGTGCATTTATCTGAGACAGACTGATACCCACTTGGGGTTAGATATTAAACCTTACTAAAATTACAAACATCTCTGTAATACACAAGGTAACGGATACAAGTTAGCTATTAACATTGACTAAAGCCCCATTCACATGCACAACTTGTCTGTCGTACAGACCCTGAAACAAATATATCCAAGAAAACCCTTGGAAGTCTAGAATATGTGGCAAGTCTAGATTTCCACAGTTTCAGGAATGAAGAAAGCCTCAGGGCACCTTTTCATTATAATTCAATTATTTTTTTACATAAACTGTTCATTTCAGAGGCTAGTTGTTAGCCTAATGCACAACATGTATACATGCACACTGTGACACATGCTCCTGGGGTAAATGTACGCACGTGAGTAAACATGCACATGACGTGTAGGTGCATGTTAATGGGGCTTAAGCCTACAAAAGTTCAATTCGATCAAGGCACCATCTGTTTCAGTTAAGAACAAGCTGATCAAAGAAAAAAACCTAAAAATACGAAACCATGATTTCCTTGAGAATATTTTTTTATATATTCTGTTTTCACAGCTGAACACTGACAGAAAATAAGGAATCATTAAAGACACAAAAGAGTCTCTATTTCTAAAATAATATCTCAAACACAATTTAATAAATCAGAGTTATATATTATTCTATCCTATGATGTTCCAAATGCATGGTAAACCCTTCAAAATTAGGGTTGGTTTGATTGTATAAAGTTTCTTGAATAATGAAGTTATTTACTTTAATACTGTACCTGACAAGAGAGACGAATGCATCCTAAATTAAGTCAACACACAGGTGCATCATAACACATTTATAATCATAATCATATGTACATTGTAAACTGTATATACAATTTATCACAGTCAAAGTCATGTCAACATGCATAGAAAAGTCAAATAATAACACGTCAATGAGACATGATCAAAATCAATATAAATATAACAATGGTATAATTATGCTGATCACTTCATTGTGTGTTGAGCTGTGTTTGGAATATGTATCAATACTGGTTTGTTGTATGCAACCGTTGTAACATGTTTTAAAAACGTCCTGAAATTGATCAAATATAATTCTTATTTTCTAATCTTAGTCAGCACAACACTCAGCAATGTTACAACTATATGGTAGCGGCTTGTAAATAATCAAGTTTGGACCTGACAATCTAGTGATCAACATCACGAGCATAGATCTACACAAGTGGATACCATGATATGTAAGTCAGGGAGCCTGACCAACCGATCCCGTTAGTCACCTCTTAAGACTTAGCATGGGTTGGTGAAGACTAAGAATTGAGCTTCAAACATTGTACCTATGTGGGGATTCAACCCGGGCCTTCATGGGGACGAGCAGATGCTTTAACCATTTGGCTACCCTACCACCCTGACAAACTTATGATTGCTATGAGGGAGAATCGGTGCTAAGCACCTTACCAGCATGTGGCACCTTCATTCCACTCCAGGTGACATCGCTGCTATCTGTGTGGCTCTCTAATTTCAAATATATTCTTGTGTATGTTTTTAAGAATGCTATCATTGTGAATTACAAAAACATTCATGACAGACTTATTTCTTCCCAGATGAAATACTGGTTATTTGTTGCACCAGATTGCTGACTAAGCAAAAATCCCTCTACTGTATCAATCGCATGATTGTTAAAAAGACAGTACTTCCAAAATGACAAACAGAAAATAATTTAGCTGCAAGAATCAAGGATGGCAATTTTCCGCTGACCCGCGTATTCCCGCGGATTTTATTTCAAATTGTTCAATTGTGAATTGTCTAAATCCATTTAGAAACCCTCAACTCGATGACACAAGATGAAGTTTTTAGCTGAACATAGATTTTCCTGTTGCCATCCCTGAAGAATAGTACCTTCTCAACATGACAACAGCATATAACCTTAACTTATAGCAGTTGTTTTGTTAAGTTAAGGTAGCTGGTGTTGTGGGGTAGCCTAAAGATAAGTAGACTGACTGAGTTTAGTTTTGGGGTAGCTTTTAGCAATATTAAATATCTGACTAGTGCAGAAATGGTATTGTGCATGGGGAACGAACCCGGATCCTCGGCATGATGAGCCAACGCTTTAACATTACTGATAATACTAAAATTTTAGTCATGATGATATATTGCTAATATATTGTGCACTGAAGCTGTGATACGATATAAGGGTGGCGATATGATGGGCATCACGATACTAAAACGGTCAGGGCTTCCACTAACAAAACTTTACTGTCCGCCATTTTGACTTGAGCAACGGGTTTTGGGCAGTGCTTCATTAACTTTCGTTTTTTAATATCAATGCATTTACATGTCCAATCTATTATAGTGAGTGAGTGAGTTTAATTTTACGCCGATCTTAGCAATATTTCAGCAATATCACGGCTGGGGACACCAGAAATGAGCTTCACATATTGTACCCATTGTACCCAGGTCTTCGGCGTGACGTGCGAACGCTTTAACTACTAGGCTACCCCACCACCTCTCAATCTATTATACATTATCTTAGTAATTTCAAGTAAATATAAGTGATACTTAACAGCAGCAAGTGTTTTAAAGTATTTCATCAAATTTGCCATTGATGTTCGTCGTTCGGAAACGAGATAATTAAGTTTATACACAGACTTTGTGAATGTTAATAATATGCGAGCACTATGTCAGACACAGTTCTTGACGTAAAAATGTCCGAGAAAACGTTTACATATGAAGGGCAATAAGTAGACATATATTATTATCATCAAACAAAAGTAAGTCATTTTTTCTTGACAGATATTGCGATTCGGCAATATTCAAGGTTAAAGATCGATGTATCGTGGCCCGTTTGAAGTATCGCATCGGGATATACAACAATGTAAAACTTTGTATCGATTCACTGTATTGGCGGCCCATGAATCGATGCATCGATGGATATTGATGAATCGTCACACCACTAGTACTGACAAAGGATGAATCGGGAATATGACCACAGATCCTAGTCTAAGGGACACAACTCTGCACAGCAACTACATAACTAACTGGTTTGATAACACCAACTATTTCATGAATGTAATCAGCTGGACATTCATGCTCCTATAATTTCTTTCATACCACATTAATATTGTGTACAGATGAGTTTGAAGCATTCAGCCTAGATGATGTTTGGAAGCAATATATTTTTGATAATTGACATACAATTTGTTTTCAAAGATAGTCAGTGTTATGTCATGAATTGGCTCAGAACACATGTATGCAGGAATATATATACAGAATTAAACAAATATACTACTCAACACTCGGTAGGAACATACTGAGTTACAGGCATGATTCTGATTACTTCTCATGTACATTTTCATGAAATACACTTTACAGTTTCATTTAAACATGAGTTCACAGCTAAAACAATAGAGGATACTAAAAGACCTTCCGTGTAATACCAGTTTATTAAATGAGCTAATGATTTGATACAAAATCTTTCGTGAGTTTTATAACAATGGTATTTCACAGAAGCGAGATAAGTATTCTGTTTATTGTGATGATGATTTTAAGTGGGGGTCACCTATTGTGTTGTGGGGGCATGGGGTCATCAATTTTGTACCCATGTGCTAGAGGGGTTATCAATTTTTTACATACAAATATTTAAAGATTATGCTTGAAAATTATGGGTGGTTGGGGGTGTATTGAGTTTGTACAAGACAGGGTGGGTGGGGCTGGGGTGGGTACTTACTTTGTACATAAATTTTAGGGGTGCCATTCACATTGTACATGCTTCTCCATAAACATCATCATCACACCCACCTCCCACCCCACCCCTGCCATAAATTATACACGGTCCCAACCAAGCTCATCATCAACTGGATGATCTAATTTCTATGTGGTTTCCTCAAATGTCAAACTGTTTCGCACTTGGTGTATCACTGTAAGATGTCAATCTTAACAAGAGATTTCAATGTAGATTTCCAAAACATCGAACAGTATTGTTTCCCAGTACTTTATGTAAACTATTCAGAGATAACATACAAACGGAATCCTTACTCATTCATCAGTATTCAATTTTATCCCAGTCTTTTACTCGTCCTTCTCGATCCATATCAATGGAGTCTCTTCTTTCTCGTTGGTAAGGTTTTTCTTCACGTGGAGATTTTTCTCCAGTATCTTTATCCTGTCCAGTTGTGTCCTTTGAACTGTTTTGGACACCGTCTTCGTCTTTGAATCTGACCTCTGACTTTTCTTCCTTGACCTCTGGTGACTTTTCACCTTTAACCTTGTCACCACTTTGACTTTGGGATGTAGATTCTGTGAAATCATCAGAGTAGGATTGATCCCTGACCTTGGAGTCATCCTGACTGACCTTGACCTTTGGAACTGATGTAGATGTTGATGTGTCTTCTGATGTGGCTGTGGATGTGTCTGAAGGTATCTTTGTCTGTTGTGCTGGTTTAACTGAAGAGCTTGTGTCTGAAGATGACTGGCCTTCAGATTCAGACAAAGGGGCAGGTTTTATTTGGCTTTTCTCTGACGTCTTTTCACTAGTTTCATTAGTTGAACTGTCTGATTTTCTTTTGTTGTCATCTGATTTACTAGCATGGGACTGACTCACACTCTTGGAAGCTTCAGAGAAGTCTTCAGAATATGAGGCATCATGGTCGCCATCCCTTGGGGGAGAACCTTCTTTCTTGGTGGTCTCCAACCTAGGTGGAGAACCTGTCATCACCTGAGGTTTGGTTGGAGAACCTGGAGATGCAGCTCCAGACCCATCTTTTTGGGAAGATCTTGATGTCTTTGATGGTTCCGATCTTGTTTGAGACTCAGTAGGTTCTGATTTTGATAGAGACTTGCTTGTATCAGCTCCGGACTCATCACTGCTGCTGCTGCTGCTGTCACTGTCGGAGCTGTAGTCATCGTCACTGTTGTCTGGGGAAGAAGACATTAATGATTAATCTTGAATACTGATATCATGGTTCTGAACAAAATAGTATGGTATACGAGGTGACAGGGTGTTATAAAGTCACATAAAGATTATGAACAAAATAGTATGGTATACGAGGTGACAGGGTGTTATAAAGTCACATAAAGATTCTGAACAAAATAGTATGGTATACGAGGTGACAGGGTGTTATAAAGTCACATAAAGATTACGAACAAAATAGTATGGTATACGAGGTGACAGGGTGTTATAAAGTCACATAAAGATTATAAACAAAATAGTATGGTATACGAGGTGACAGGTTGTTATAAAGTCACATAAAGATTATGAACAAAATAGTATGGTATACGAGGTGGCAGGGTGTTATAAAGTCACATTAAAGATTATGACATGAGTGTGAAATTTTGTATTGCCAAAGCGATAGCGTGTAAGTCATATGACATACCTGCTTGAGTGTAATGATTTCTTTATTATCAATTTTATTCACTTTTTGTGTTTTTAAAACACGGTAAGCAAGTGTGACGGCCCCCTTCATTGACAAAATACAGAAATAATGGTTACTGGGCAAAAGTGATATGTGCACATATGATATACATGTATATGACACTGGTTATGTTTCACCATATCGGTAATAAATACACTTCTTTCACTGGAAATGTAATTCTCAACCTTCCACCGACCCTCGAGCTGAATGTCTGCATTAGCGGAAACTTGAAATAATCGAAGATTGGTTGCAGTGACTTAACGACCATGTTTTCTCAAAATCGAACAATATTTTTCACAAGGTTGGTTTTGTCTGTGTCATTAAATTTACATTTCATAAGCACTACAAGCGTGTTCCATGCCATGATTGAATTTATCTTAAAGACATACTAGTCACCCTTTAAATATGTGAAATTAGCAAATGCATTTTGTGTATTTGCAAAAAACCCAAAGAACTACATGTTTTTTCTTTATTTTCTTTAGTGCATTAACAAAGATAACAGGAACATATGAAGATTGATCACCTGAAATGGACCAATCATCAATTATGAGATTTTAATCAATTCCGACCATTCCGGTCACTGTGTGGACAGTTAGTTATCAGTTGTCATGATCGGGAATGGTTCCCTAGAATGACACATGTGAGTGATTGTACTATTGTTCTATACCCATGACCAAGTATCCTTGAAGATCCGGGTTAGAATTGATCTTCAGTCACCCCTGCTTGTCGTAAGAGTCGACTAACGGGATCAGGTGGTCGGGCTCGCTGACTTGGTTGACACATGCCATTGTATCCCAACTGTGTAGATCAATGCTCATGCTGTTGATCACTGGATTGTCTGGTCCAGATTTGATTATTTACAGACCGATGCCATATAGCTGGAATATTGCTGAGTGCGGCGAAAAACTATACTCAGTCACTTCATGACCAAGTGGCTGGAGTCATTCCCCTTATTCATCAGTATCATTCTGTATAAGTAACGGAATTGATTGAAGTGTCCCTAAAATCTTCTATTGTATACTTGTGGATACTGTGTCTCCTTGCAATTTTTTAATGTATAATTATATTTAACTTTTATAGAGAATACTTGTTAAACAATTGTCATTTTCTGTGCCATGTAAAAATGTTCCTCACATAATTCTGTGTTGTGAAATTTATTCCTGGTAATTTAAATAATTAAAACTGTGTGCTCGGTACCCAAATTTAACCTCTTCAATAAATACATATATGTTACTGTCTTTAACCCAATACCTAACCCTAGAACCATTACAGTCTTCAATAAATACATACCTGTTACTCTTTTGCACCTTAAGTAGTTTATTAGAATTTATTTTTCACCGTAACCCTACAGATCAAAACAAGCAAAAATGGAGCTAGGAATGTTTTATTTTAGTTTCTTGACTCAACCAAGTTAATCTGAAAGTCATGAAACAAAAAAAAGAGCCAAACCTACCCTTAGCACGTGGACGTTCACCAAGTCGAGATTTAGGTCTGTCCACACCCTCCTTATGACTGTTCCCTCTGTTCTGGGGAGCCATCCGATCCTCAGTATCTTCACTGTCCTTGACCTTGTCCTCCTCACCTCTGACCTGAGCCTCCTCCTCATCTGGCTCTTCATCCTGTGGTTCTTGTATCTGAACAACTGTTACTTTCTGATCAGTATTTTCTGTTTCCGCCATTTTGGAATTGTCGCGATCGGAAGAACTTGTTTTAGATTTCTCTGGTGTGGATTTGTCTTTTTTGGTTTCGTCTGAAGATGCTTTAGATGGCTTGGTGCCTGAAGGCTTTTTGCTTGTGGGAGTGACCCCATCATTTGCCTGTTTTGATGGCTTGGTGCCAGATTTTGACTTTGTTGCTGTTGGTGTTTCTCGTGTTTTCTTATGGGACTTATTTGAAGCAAGTGATGCTCTTGACATCGGGCGTGAGGTCGATCGAGATTTTGATCTGTAAAATCAATTTAGAGAACATTATATATGTAAAAAAAAATTAAATTTTGTATGGATAATCATCACAAAGAAACCAACTTCATACTTGTATATATTGATAAGGTGAAGGTCAAAGAACAATCTTGAAGATAACTCCACGAGATGGAATTGGCCCCTGGCAACCTATGCATGTTGGAAGAGGTTACCAAACATATCGGGCGTTCAGGTTCCTTGATTTGGCTCACTCCAAGTCATCGTAGCCAGACGGCATGGATTGATGGTCATAAAATCAATCACTGGATTGTGTGGACCAGGCTTGATCCAGGCTGCCCGTCTAAAGATGCACATGAACAGTCATTAATAGTGTGTAGATCGATGTTCATGCCATTCATTCCTGGATTGTCTGGTCCAGACTCGATTATTTACAGACCGCTGCCATATGGCTGAAATATTGCTGAGTGTGACGTAAAACTCAACTCACTCACTCCCAATAATAGTGTGGCCGAGATGATTTTATACTTGTTTTGTAAATATTTTAGAAATATGTTTTAGGCCATTAAGTGCCTGTACAAGCTTAACACGTACACAGTATACAGAAAGTAACAATAGATTTACCCCAGCAATTATATAACTCTTAACTTCACCATAGCCACTGTCACTCTAATGATAAGCGCATTGCATTGTCTGCCTTGTCCCATATCCTTATTATGTAAGTCTCCTTGCCTACAGTTCAACTTTATTTCATCAAGCAGTTATCAGATACTACTCTTACAAGTCAGAGGTCCTACACGTTATGCTGAGCGAATAGTTTGGTTTTTTTGTGGAATGAGTGACTGTGAACCTCACTTCTATTTATGTATCTATAAGGTCAGTTTGTGTTTTGCTTTCATATTCATGTATTTATTTATATGTCTGTATAGTTGTATATGAATTAAATGCATTAAGTTAATGCATTGATAAGATATATTTCCCTGTTGAACCAACACATTAACTTGCCATTGAGTGTGTGTTATTGACTAGTAGTTCATAATTAGTATATAAGCATATTTAAATGTTTAGATATTCTACCAGCTTTGAAGGTAATATAATTTCTCTTTTTAATCCATGAACTTATGTCCTGTATTTGTATTGCCATTTTTTCTGGTTGCTCATCATTGTGTAACATTTGTAGAATATCCCGATTGGACACTGTCAACTTATTAGCTGCCAGCTCATTGCCACACAGTGGTAAGTCAGGTGTTCATATTGTATATATTGACTGTATATCTTGATGATTTGTGGAGACAGTAATGTGTCGGCAACCTAAGTATACATTGTAATCTGTACGAGTTAATATTTTTTAGTTTAACTGTATCTACTGTTCTACTTTTGTACATTAGTCATGTATAATTCTTAGATGTTATGTGATATGGCTGGTGTAATTAATTTATCAGATATTTTAATATAATTTTTATATAATATTTACAGAGCTGGAAACTGATTAGTGTTTACACAATAAAGAGATTGCTGTCGGCTCACAACCCAGTAGCTGTTCCGCATTATTCTTTCTACTGGAACCTCGTCCGCTACTACAATAGTGCATGACCATAGCTTCCAGAATGTTACTTCATACATTGAGGGGTGGTGGGGTAGTCTAGTTGTTAAAGTTTTGGCTCGTCATGCCAGTACAATGTGTGAAGCCCATTTATGGTGTCCCCTCAAGGGTCTGTAGCTCACCTGACTTATGACGAAACTTCAGATGAGAATCAGAATCTGGTGACTACATTTTAGAGACATCATAGCTGGGATCATTTATATAATTTTCAGCTTTAGGAAACTATAAGAAATGCAATATGTTGCTATTACTGACCTTACTTCAATGTAAAGAAAAAATATGAAACATTGTCATGACAGACAACCTCATAAAGATTAATCAGCTCTTAGACACTTTTCTTACTGTGTCTCAACTTACTTTGAGGAGGCTGGTCTTGACTGTGCATGTTCTGACTGTGTCACAGCACTGGGTGACGATTCTGTTTTGTCTGTCTGTGTGTCCCGGTTTGTTGGTGCTGAGCGGATACGTCGGCGCTGGTACGTGTCGCTTGTACCCTGCTGAGTCTTCCTCTGGCTGCTCAGGTACTTCATGTAGCGTCTGTACTCCGCGTCAGAATACCCACCTGCAGCATGGGCAAACACAGTGAGTGAGTGAGTGAGAGAGATAAATCTGCAGGAAACCAGTTAAGATATGATAAGGGGAGATAACTGTGAAAATGACCTGTGGACGTCTGACTGCAGGTGATAAATCTCTAGGAAACCAGTAAAAGATATAATAAAGGGAGATAACTCTGTAAATAATTAGTGGACGTCTGACTACAGGATATAAATCTCCAGGAAACCAGTGGAGATATGATAAGGGGAGATAACTGTGTAAATGTCCAATGGACGTCTGACTACAGGATATAAATCTCCAGGAAACCAGTGAAGATATGATAAGGGGAGATAACTGTGTAAATGACAGACCTCTCTGGCCTTCTTTCTGCAGGAGCTGACAGTACTGGTTCTGCTTGAGTCTTCGCATGCTGTCGACACTGTACACCTTGGCTATACTGTACAGGTACAGTCGTTCCCCGGGGTTCAGGTCATCCAGCAGGGGGTTCTTGCACTTCTGGGACTCCCGGATAATGGAGGAGGTGTAGGATCGGCGGGGGCGCTGCCAGTTCATCAGCCGCAAATCGTCTGATGTCATACACGCTGTGTGCCGCTTGTAGTTGACGCTAGAGCCATCTGAAATCATTTTATGAGTGGAAGACTTTGTAACAACCAGCAATTTTCTAGCTTATACAGCAATGCTCCATGAATATTTTGGACTCTATTTTGGACGTGTACATATTGCTGTATAAATGTGGGAGACTCTTTTAATCTGTCATTGTTGCGCCTGAGCATATCTGCTGACGTGGAAAAGGCGCATGAAGAAATCTGCATTTTATTATTTATTATATGTTGTTTTAAATGGGCATTGATCCAGAGCGATTTATGTTTCTCACCAACAGTCTAATTACAAAGCCAAGCCGCAGGCAGGTCAGTACCTGCTCCCTCGACCGTGACGGACATAGGAGCTGGGCTGCTGACCACCTTGGCAGAATATCTTCAGCCTAAACAGTGGGACATTAGGAAGGGTGGATGCCCGTTATTTGAAAATATCCGTAAATAATGACTGATCCAATTTGATCCTATTTCTGTTTTTTTTACCTCGATATTCAATCATGTCATGTAAAAATATGATGTTTATTTATGCTATAATATTAAAAAACACACATTTGATGTATTTGAATCCATAAACTAAACAACCCCACTTTGCCTTTGCTAGAAAAGTCTGAAAATTTACTTAGGTAAATAGAGGTATATACAGTTTTTAACTTACGTACACAGCAAATGCTTATATGCATTTCTTATGCAACAATGAAGTTCCGTTCGTATCCTCTAAACAGTGTCAGCCCATAAGTTTTTATCAGGCAATCAAAACTGAATGCAATACAGCAATTACTACTCCCTTGCTGTAACCTGTGTTTGGTGGTAAACATACACATGTTATTTGTCATCATTCACTTGATGGTCAGGTAATGAATTTATAACAGGTATAATCAGTGGGAACACCACCCAGATTACCGGTACCCGACAAAGGTTCCCATTTGGCATTTCTCGTGTCTAGAGTAAATACTCAACATTATAAATTAAGGTTTGAAGTGGCAAATGTGTTACATGTTATGTAATATGCGCATGGAAGTGCAGCAAGAGGAATTATCAACTGCGTTATGAAAACAAACATCGATCAAAGGATTAACTTCTATAAATATATTGTTTAGTGCACAGTACTTGGCAATAGTCTAGCTATCTTAGTATTAGCAGGGGCGGTGGGGTAGCCTAGTGGTTAAAGCGTTCGATCGTCACGCCGAAGACCTGGGTTCGATTCCCCACATGGTTACAATGTGTGAAGCCCATTTCTGGTGTCCTCCGCCGTGATATAGCTGGAATATTGTCAAAAGCGGCGTAAAATTTAACTCACTCACTCACTCACTCACTCACTCACTCACTAGTATTAGCAATGCTCTATAAATTTGTTTTTTAGTGTGCTGCACTCCGCAACATTCGTGCTTTAGCAATGCTCTGTAGAATATGTGGATATCTCAGAGGTATATATTTCGTTCTTATATTGGATGCCAAGACAAATTAATTGGAAGGCTGGATGCCTTGAAATAGAGAGAGCCATTTCCTGTTAGCTGAACTGAATTATGAGAAGAGAATATCTTCAAGGGAGGTAACTCATACCAACTTAAACTTCAACACCCTGATCAGACGAAACACCATCTAAATTTCATCTAAAAACATAAATGTTTCCCTGTGGCCGTGGGAGATAATTCATTGCCTCTAAATTTGTTAAGAATTATTAATAAAACAGTTTAGACGTAAATCTCAATAATAACTGTTTTCACAAAACTACATAACTGACCATCAAATTTGAGCGGAGGTCTCTGTGTCTTGTTGGCCCACTTGAGGCTGGTCTTGACCTCTGGCTGGAACACGGGTGTTGAGGAAGTCAGACAATCCACGTGACTCTTGCGATTCACATATGGAGACTCTGAAGAGAACAGTACATTGCTGACTGGCTCATTCTGTTGAGGACAACTCTCCAGTATCAACACTAATCATACAAATCTTGAAAACATTAATACCAGAATACTGTAAGGGACTGTGCATAATTTATGGCTAGGGGACGATGATGATTTTTGTGGAGATACATGTACAATGTGAATTCCCCCCACCCCCTAAAATTTATGTACAAAGTAAGTGACCCCCCCCTGCATGTCATTTACAAAATCAATGAGCCACCCCCACCTAACCATAAATTTGGAACAGTCCCTAATAGGTAGTCAGCATTGGATATTTCCTGTCTTCATTTGGAGGTGAATGTTGTTTTACGCCATAGTCAATAGTATCATTACCCAGGATGCAAATGCACAAAGCTATCATTGTGTTAAGGTGATCGTAACATAGGCTTCCGACAATCGTAGCACTGGGATTGCTTCGTGCAACTGGACAACCATGCTCAGGCAATGTAAACTATTGGTTGAAAGCAAGAGCATTCAGAACATTCAAATAAACTCAGCCATGGCCCCATTCCACACAGCAATTATAGTGCTGAAGGTAATCGTAACCTGAGTGTGGCCCACTAGCTAGTTATGTCCCTTGGAGAGCTCTTTACAAATATCCTACATACAACTTGTGATTGAAACCAGAGCGGCAAACACCGATAACACTACGTGCGACAGTTTTCAATGTATGGAGCAATTTGTTTACATTTCATATATGGCAAGAGTTCTCTGTTTGGAAGCTGTTTGCCTTAAGTTTCAATTATTGATTTCAGGCAGGTCGTAAGAGATAAGAAATCTTTTATTGCATCAATAGGAAGCTAGAGTGAGTGCATATGCTCCAATATGTATAATATAGGCCAAAATATTGTCGAAAATGTGTGACATTGTACCTTTAACATAGTCTTACGATTACAGTCATATTGACTTTGTGGAAAAAGGTCACATGCTGAAACTGACTAAACGTCACTACATCAGTTATTATGACATGCATGAAGTATACAGGCCCAATGCTGCATTATAATCCCCACAGGAAATAACTAGTTATAATAGAATATACATCATTACTTTATGAAACATAAGTCTTTGTTTGTTTGTTATTTAACGCCGCACTCAGCAATATTCCAGCTACATGGCGGCTGTCTGTAAATAATCAACTCTGGACCAGACAATACAGTGATCAACAGCATGAGTATCGATCTTCGCAATTGGGAACCGATGACATGTGTCAACCAAGTCAGCGAGCCTGATCACCCGATCCTGTTAGTCGCCACTTGTGACAAGGATGGGTTGGTGAAGACCAATTCTAACTCGGACCTCCACAGGTGAAGATTTATTTTTATTTTATTACCTCCAGAGTGTCTGGATGGGTCTGGAGCTCTGAAATTAAAAGTAAAATTGAAGTATGACCACTGACCTGCTTTACTGTATCACAAGATTATAAGTTATCATGTGTCTGTGAGTTTGATATGGAGATTTTTCATGTGTCCACAGGGGTGGAAATAACTTTAAAATTGCTCGTGTACTTCGGTACAGTGGCACATGTAAAATCACTTGGCCTGATAATTTTTCCACTGTACCGGCCGTTTTCTTGTTGATTTTTTAAATAAACAACATAATTAACATTGTAATATCAACTGGACACCGGTACAGTGTGATATACAAATTTGCTTGCCCGACAGAAAAAAACACTGGACTCGAGCGTCTGGCAATGGGTTATTTCCATCCCTGGTCCAAGTTAAATATCAAATGAGAACAAAGTGATTACATAAGTTCATCAACAATATTTACAGAAAATGTCTTTTCAAGCATTTAAAACTTGGATTTCAAATCAAGGACAAGTATAAAAGATAACTCCTACTTTTTTAATTCTTTGTATTGTATTTGGTTATAAATTACAGTGTACATATGCCATTTGTTCTTTCCAGCTTTTTATCATGCAAGTTTGTCTTTGAGCTCCTGTCTTTGATAGTATAGGAAACTGGGAATCTGATTAAGAATCCCAATGGAACTGCTCAGTTTATTTACAAATAGTTTGTTTCAGTATACATGGTTCCCAATCTGTATTGTGGTTGTCTGCTGTGGGTAGAACATACCTGACATCTCCATCGTTCATCGTCTGACCCCTCAGTCGACATCCCTTCTGCAGCAGAAACAAGATGGTGGTATTATATGTCTGCATCACTATATCTGAATACACCCCAGCTCACAGACTGAAACAACTCACAAGGACTTCACTTTTCATCTGCCCCATGGTAATGAGCCTTGAAGAGCTCGTATACTCAGCTGACAGCTGTTTTGTTTGTTGTTGTTTTTTTAACCTGCACTCAGCAGTATTTCAGCTAAATGGCTGTGGTCTTTAAATAATCAAGTCTGGACCAGACAATCCAGTAATCAAAAGCATGAACACAGATCTACGCAATTAGGCTACAGTGACATATGTCAACCAATTCAGCGAGCCTGGCCATCCGATCCCTTTACGGCAAGCATGGGTTGCTGAAGACCAATTCTAACCTGGATCTTAATGGGTCGCTGCAGACAATTGTACTTTAAACATGTCAAAAGAGAATAGATCAATTTATCACACAATATATGCACTGTCTAGTGGTATGCTTCTATTATGGTTCAGGCTGAAAGGAAAGATTCTACCCACCACATCTAGGTCACATCTACAGGAATACTAAGGTTGTTTCTAGGGGTCAGTGCTATTGGTGAGTCAGTACTACTGAAAGTGGTCTGGATAGAAATAAACAGATTCTTTGTAAACTTTTGATTCAAGTATCAATGCACTGGTACAGTGTGACTATGTGCAGATCAGTCTTCAAGTATTATTCAATGATAATAATTCTTAGAATACTGCCTCTAACACTTTACTGACATGTCTCTTGAAACTTGTTTATGATCCACTAGTTCAACTTCAATAAATGTTTTCAGAAACCATTGTCTTTCTTCCTAGTGGGGGGGGTGGGGTAGCCTAGTGGTTAAAGCGTTGGCCCGTCACGCCAAAGACCCGGGTTCGAATCCCCACATGGGTACAATGTGTAAAGCCCATTTCTGGTGTCCCCCGCGGTGATGTTGCTGGAATATTGCTAAAAGCGGTGTAAAACCAAATTCAGTCAGTCAGTCTTCGTAGTGGTCTTCCCAAGAGCTATACACGTTGGAGTTATCTTCTCCTGATGTGTGAGCTGGAACCTCTGGGATGCAACAGGAAGGATGGCAGGCCTCTACCTCAAGTGTAACACTTAGTATTCTAAGAATTATTATCATCGCTGATAATACTTCAGAATTCTACTGAATACGTCACTTGACTGCTCAATCTTACAAAGGTTTGACTGATCCAGAGACTACTATCACCAACTTGGTTAGGAAGACAATCATACAACTCACGTTTACTCATACGACAAATAGACCTGTGTTTGGTTGCTGTGACAACACTCAAGAACGTCTTTTGCAGCTGTATCTCATGTTTTGGTGAACTATCATAGTCTATGATGTAATTTCTGGTTAGCTGTTCCTCTAATGGTGTCACTGATCTGGTTAACAGCACATATGATGACATCATGACCCCGTCACTTCCAGTTAACGGCACATCTGATGATATCCTTTCCAGTTAATAACTCATCAACTCAATAATGACCAAGTCATATTCCTCATTGGATATAACTCATTCCAATATTTAGTCATAGTCATATCATTATACAAGCCTACAAACCTTTGTTTTCATGTCAGTTAGATCAAATGAAACATTATGACTAGTTTTTCAAGTACAGAATGTGCAATGAATTTCATTGGGATATTTGTGCACATTTCATGTCATTCATAGAGGATACAAAACGACCGTCCATATAATACCATTTGTATTAAACGAGTTAATGATTTGGTATCATACGAGCGAAAGCAAGTTTGATACTAAATCTTTCACGAGTTTAATAGAAATGGTATTTCACGGAAGTGAGTTCAGTATTCTGTTTATTACTCTCCAACATAAATTGATAGAAACTGCCTACAGTGTGATGACTCTCAGCTTTCTGTGAGTCAAGCAAGGTCACATACCATTGTGACAGAGGTATTAGCATTGTGACGTCATAACTGTAAACCGTTATGACGTCATACGTCTAGCGGAATTACACAAGTGTAATATTGCCGTAAAAATATTAGACTGCAGTATCTTCCATGGGTGAGTAATAAAAGCCATTTTTATCCATATAAACTAAAAATAAACAGCAAGTATCATTAAAACTTGACCGAAATATACAACCTGAAATTCATGAATGTAAAACTAGGCATAAGGCAATGAAGCTCACCTGAAAGATTTGCAATATCAAATCAAGAAAGAGTTTGCTTTCAAACAAATCCTCAACAGATTGCAGAGATGGCATTTCAGGGAATGTTTTTATTGTGGGATATTGTTAGAGACGATTCCTTTCCACAAGAGTGGTATAAAATTTCTAAATGACGCATGCAGAAATGGACTGATGGATGAATATCAGACCTAAAGAACATTTCCAATATGGCTGCCATGTGCAATGTCTGCTCTAAACACTGTAAGCATCTTTGATGGAAAAAATGTTTTTGGGGTGATTGATGCAGTCACAACTTCATACACATTGTTGTTTCGGAAAAGACATCAAAATGGATGGACAGATGTTCAACCAACATATCATGACAAGTTTCAATCTAAACATAACATCATTTGAACATTGAGCAAGACCATACAGTGAACACATTACTACACATAACACAACAACATAACATGGCTATAAATGTTAGTGAGTGAGTGAGTTGAGTTTTATGACACTTTTAGCAATATTCCAGCAATATCATGGCAGGGGATCACCAGAAATGGGTTTCACACATTGTACCCATGTGGGGAATCGAACCCGGGGCTTTTGCGTGACCACTAGGCTACCCCACCGCCCTGTAAATGTTAGGCTAAATAAATACATTTCAGACACAGCGCTTAAGAGCTATCTGTTACCGATTACAAAAAGAGATACATTGATACTGATATATTGTAAACAAATAAACAAAACGTGTTATTTGAGGGTTGTGGAAACAATGACAGCAAAGCCATTGTGAGGTTATCAGATGGTTGTGGAAACAATGACAGCAAATCTATTGTGAGGTTATTTGAGGGTTGTGGAAACAATGACAGCAAATCTATTGTGAGGTTATTTGAGGGTTGTGGAAACAATGACAGCAAATCTATTGTGAGGTTATGGGATGATTGTGGAAACAATGACAGCAAATCTATTGTGAGGTTATTTGAGGGTTGTGGAAACAATGACAGCAAAGCCATTGTGAGGTTATCAGATGGTTGTGGAAACAATGACAGCAAATCTATTGTGAGGTTATTTGAGGGTTGTGGAAACAATGACAGCAAATCTATTGTGAGGTTATTTGAGGGTTGTGGAAACAATGACAGCAAATCTATTGTGAGGTTATGGGATGATTGTGGAAACAATGACAGCAAATCTATTGTGAGGTTATTTGAGGGTTGTGGAAACAATGACAGCAAAGCCATTGTGAGGTTATCAGATGGTTGTGGAAACAATGACAGCAAATCTATTGTGAGGTTATTTGAGGGTTGTGGAAACAATGACAGCAAAGCTATTGTGAGGTTATTGGATGATTGTCGAAACAATGACAGCAAACCCATTGTGAGGTTATGGGAAGACGGGAAACAATGACAGCAAATCTATTGTGAGCTTATTGGAGGGTTGAGAAAACAATGACAGCAAATCTATTGTGAGGTTATTTGAGGGTTGTGGAAACAATGACAGCAAACCCATTGTGAGATTATGGGAGGGTTGTGGAAACAATGACAGCAAATCTATTGTGAGCTTATTGGAGGGTTGAGAAAACAATGACAGCAAATCTATTGTGAGGTTATTTGAGGGTTGTGGAAACAATGACAGCAAAGCTATTGTGAGGTTATGGGAGGTTTGTGGAACAATGACAGCAAATCTATTGTGAGGTTATGGGATGATTGTGGAAACAATGACAGCAAATCTATTGTGAGGTTATGGGAGGTTTGTGGAAACAATTACAGCAAATCTATTGTGAGGTTATTTGAGGGTTGTGGAAACAATTACAGCAAAGCTATTGTGAGGTTATGGGATGATTGTCGAAACAATGACAGCAAACCCATTGTGAGGTTATGGGAGGGTTGTGGAAACAATGACAGCAAATCTATTGTGAGCTTATTGGAGGGTTGTGGAAACCATAGTACCATCGTTCATTGATATGGAGTCTCTCACCAAACCATAGTTAAGCAATATCAAGGCTTACTGAACTACACTTCGGTGATATCAAGTCTCCCAAAACCAGAGTTAAATGATATCAAGGCTTATTAAATAATTGTACAGTGATATCAAGGCTCATTGCATCATAGTTCAGTGATATCAAGCCATACTGACCCACTGTTCAGTGATATCAAGCCATACTGACCCACTGTTCAGTGACATCAAGGCTTACTGACCCACTGTTCAGTGATATCAAGCCATACTGACCCACTGTTCAGTGACATCAAGGCATACTGACCCACTGTTCAGTGACATCAAGGCTTACTGCACTGTTCAGTGATATCAAGGCTTACTGAACCCCCTTAGCACAAACTATATAGTAACTGTTGATCATAACTGTGCTAAAATCTCATAAAAATGGAGCGGCTTAGTGCAATTTATGTTCACATCTGGCAGAAAAGCAGAAATTTGGCACAGACATAGCCTAACACCCCATAAATAAATGTGATGTATAACTAGGTCCAATGACCACCCGATCCCATTAGTGTTCTCTTACGACAAGCATGGGTTGCTGAAGACCAATTCTAACCCGGATCGGTGACAAAACGCAGACTCAAACATATGATCACTGTGTCCTGGGCTTTGATGAACACAAGAGTTTATAGAGAAATCAAAGCTAAATTTCACACAGCTACAAATTATTATTGAATTTCTTAAACAGCGATTCATGTGCATAAGCATTTGAAGGAAGTGCATTGTAAGTGTGTGCTATCACTCGTTTGGTTACATCTAGGAAAACTTCACACACAAGACAATGAAGAATTATGTCTTCTAAGTATATATCCCTACCACATAAACATGATTGTCTGCCCTTTGACCACTCTTCTGAAAATACAGTTTGAAGTTCACATACAGATGACAGAGAAATAAACCAGTTTGTTTACATGCATGCACAAATAATGACAGTTATTTGTTAAATGATAAAGAGGGAGAATGAGCTACGCCCAAAGCCACTTTTAACAGTATTTCAGTTATAACATGGCTTGTCAGCTCAATATTTCAGTTATATCATGGCTTGTCAGCTCAATATTTCATATATATATAATGGCTTGTCAGCTCAATATTTCATATATATATAACGGCTTGTCAGCTCAATATTTCAGTTATATCACGGCTTGTCAGCTCTATATTTCAGTTACATCACGGCTATTCAGCTCAATATTTCAGTTATATCACAGCTTGTCAGCTCTATATATTTAAGTTACATCACGGCTATTCAGCTCAATATTTCAGTTATATCACGGCTTCTCAAAAGTGTGTTGAAAGCCTGAAGTCATAAAGGTGTCTGAGGTTTACCACTTTAGTGCTGACAAATAAGACACTGAGGTGAATTGGGAATCAAACCCATAATCAAAGGTTCCTGGTGTACCAAAGGGATGCAACTGTGCACAGCAAACAGTGGAGCACCCTGTATATCCAGATGCTCTCTGGACACCCAAAGTGACACAGGCCTTAGACATCATCGTACTGACAACCTGGAGTCACAAGTAAAGTGAATCTGGATCTTAAGTTCCTGGGACAGCCAAGGAAGACAACTCTTCAGTTAATTAGAGTACATTTACATTTATTATTATTGTAGCTCACCTTGGTATATTTGTTGTTGAGAAGGATCATCTTGGTGCTGGAGTTGCGGACATCGTACACTCGGGATACAGGGCTCTGCTTGGGCCAGGGGATGCCATTGAATGGAACCCTGGAATGAACATGCAATGCACATTTCAATGCAATGAACAATCATTGTTTTAATACAATGAATTTTGCCATAAATTTGAAAAATACTGGATTGTGATAGGTCAGTCACAGGTTTGACCGAACCAGCTGAACCACTCTGGAAGCTCATATCTGTGGACAGTTCTTTGTCAATATTATTGCAGGCATTTTGAAAATATGACAAGTACAATATTTGGTGATGAAATGAAGAAGTACACATGGCAATACATTTGGGTCAAAAAACAAGAAGGACGTCAATTAAAAGAGTGTATTTCAAGTTTTAGAGACAAAACAAGAGCTGGATATTGGGTGTTATTTTATATTCATCTGCAACACCAAATCTCAAGTGAAGCAGAATCATTTTAGAAAGTTGATAAGTTATTGGCTTAGGAACCTACCCATTTTTAATTTAATTTATGGGGTCAAAGTTTGCACAGGTTTGACCTCGTGACATACTGAGCATGGCTCTTCAGAAGAAGTACCGTGCTGGAAAACAGATCGACACTCTCAACTGCTTGCAAGCATAACCTACATTTCATGTCCAAGAAGATCAAACAACAGCATCTGGGAGATTATTTCTCAACCGTGTTGATACAGCCAAATTATCGAACAAAAATCCTTTTATTTTCTAAGACATTACAAAAACAAACATGCCAAAATATAAAAACCTTTCCAATCGACTGAATTTTTACCCCCATAAAACACTTCCGAAAGGTTGTGCGAACATGTTTTCCCACTCAGTGGTCAGATGGTTCTTTCCCATGAAGATACACCACGAACAGGTTCATAGATTTCCTCAATGAGTGCATGTATATTTCTCATTGATCCATGTAAAACTGCTTACATCAATAGGCTGATTGATCGTTGATTTCATCAAACACTCTCACTAATGTGTCCTGAGAACTTATGTCAGTCGATAACAAAAATCAATTTTATGAGGCGAAAGTCACTGAAATGAAACATAATTCTTCTGATGTAAATGCCATTCAATCAATTTTGGGTGTTCAAAGTAAAGAAAATATTGTTTGGATGCGGTTTGTTGTCACATGAAGAACTTTCATGAGGTTGTATAAATAACAATAGTTGAAAGGGGACACCAATGTTTATTTATGAAACAAAACATCTAAAATTATGGATTAAAGTATTAACCTTAAAAAGCACCTAATGGAAATTACCAACTTTAGTTAGTTAGTTAGTTTAGTTTATGCCAATTTTAGCAATATTCCAGCAATATCAAGGCCAAAAATGGGCTTCACACATTGTACCCATGTGGGGAATCAAAACTTCAGGTGGGATCAAGGAAAGCTTTAACCACTAGGCGACCCACCACCCCATGAACAACTTTAAGTATTTCCTTGTGTACAATAGACGTTTTTACCAAATAGATACACTGTATCATACATACATTGAATATCACAGACTTTAGTTCCAAAGTGAAAAACTACAATTGGTAAGTTGACACTGGAAATAGCAAATGAGAGTAAAACTATGACACCATTGAACAACCAATTATCAGGCACAACTGATTCCATTTGGTGCAACCCGTGAAGATCCGGGTTAGAATATTGGCCTTCAGTAACTCCAGCTTGTCGTAAGAGGCAACTAACGGGATCGGGTGGTCAGGCTCGCTGACTTGGTTGACACATGTCAGCGGTTCCCAATTGCGCAGATCGATGCTCATGTTGTTGATCACTGGATTGTCTGGTCCAGACTTGATTATTTACAGACCGCCACCATATAGCTGGAATATTGCTGAGTGCGGTGTAAAACTAAACTCACTCACTCACCCCTTTGGTGCAAAGGCAAAATAGCAGTGAAAACTAACTAATTTGTAGTTAATTTTAGAATAAAATTGTTCATTAAAACACATAGCTTTTTTGTTATTTGTTTTCACACCTAGTTCTTTAACTGTCTGATTCCTGGTTAATGTTTAGTTTCAACTTGGGAATCAACATGTAACATTACCATACCAGGAAATACTATTAAGATTGCAAGTCACATTGTCATTAAATGAAGAAGGAAAAGTTTTAGTTTCTTATATGTCTGAACTAAGTTTATTTTCTTCTTCTTGATCTCTCATGTCATGTATGATTTTAAAATGTGCCTCCATTGTCTATCTTCTAAGTGCCCAGGGCATTCAGTACAACTGATACGGTATTCACAGAGAAGTTCTGTCTTAAATAAAAAAATATATTGCAATAAAACTAAACAAAAATGGCAAAATAATCAATAATAACATTTTGTATGTGAACATAAATTACTTGGGTAATCAATATTTTTTGTTTACACGTCGGTCAGACAATGCTGTATCTGTTACTGCACAGTCTGCAATATTCATGCCATGTCTTAACAATCGAATCTTGGCCAGGGTGCCGTTGTACAAAGAGATCTTAGTACAAAGGTGATCGGAATCCCCATGCCTTATGACTTACGATAATCGTAGGATGTTTTGTACAAATGGCACCAAGGAAAATTGGTGAATGAAGGCAGTTTTATTTTCATTGTTAAATGCCACATTCAGTAATATTCTAGAAATATGATGGATTAGGTAATCGGAGCTCCCATACCTTATGACGTATGATTAGGCCTAGATAGCCATAGTTTGTTTCATACAAACGGCACCCAGGCAAATTGGTGAATGAAGGCAGTTGTATTTTTTATGTTCAACATTCATTAATATTCTAGATAATCGGAACTCCCATGCCTCATGACGCATGATAGCCGTAGTTTGCTTCATACAAACCGCACCCAGGCAAATTGGTGAATGAAGGCAGTTGTATTTATGTTCAACATTCAATAATATTCTAGAAATATGATGGGTTGTCTGGTCCAGACTCGATTACTTACAGACGGCCGCCATATAGCTGGAATATTGCTGAGTGCGGCATAAACCTAAACTCACTCACTCACTCTCTCAGAATGTTTGTCCTAGCTTCAGAGTCTCTCTCAAAAGGTGTGTCCTAGCTTCAGAGTCTCTCCCAAAAGGAGTGTCCTAGCTTCAGAGTCTCTCTCAGAGTGTTTGTCAAGAGCCTCTCTCAGAAAATTTGCCAAAAATTCATATTCTCTTTCTGAAAGTCAAATTGAAGCTCATGATCTCTTTGTGAATCTCTACTAGCCTGGACCTTGTTCCTCAAAGTGATCGTAGTGCTACGACTGTCGTAAGTCTATGTTAAAATATGGGAGTTATGATCGTCTTATGGTTACGATCGGAACGGGGCCGTGGACACGAAGCTTCAACGAGGAGGTTTTAAATTAGCCTTACAGTTTCCAGGTAAAGAGGGGTCTTTCTGGACCTATCTCCACGCTGAGCCCAAAAGATCTGTGAATGTACAAGAGGTTCATTTCTAGAAGCGTTTTCTGTTGAGTTGACCTTGACAACAACTGCCTGTTTGTTTATGAGGTTTGACAGTCTTGATGATGAAGCAATAGTGTATCACAACAAACAAAATATAGGTCAGGTGAAATATTGTCCCAAACTGAACAAACATGAGAAGAGTAATCACTATCATTCCAAGGTAAAGATGTTTGTTTAGTGCTCGTCAATCAAATGATCAATGTTTCAACAACATTGCAAACTGAGGCAGATGGTATGTTATTGAAGTTGCCATGACAACCATCCTACACGTAAATCTAAACCTCAACATTTAACCATTCTTCCACAATGAGAGTTTATCCTGACTTTTCATTTGTTTGACCTGGGTTTTAGATGAATTTCAGCAAATTATAGAATAATCCAACAACATTTACCAAAGCTCAGCCTACAACTATGACAATGGTGCTCACAGTCAACCTCCTTTTATCTATGCCAGAAAAACCAACACCTACATTATGTATGTGTTACATCATCATTTGCGTATTGACTCCATGAGGGAAACAACAAACATTCTTTCTTAATTGGGGTGGTGGGATAGGCTAGTGGTTAAAGCGTTTGCTCGCCATACCGAAGACTCGGGTTCGATTCCCCAAATGGGTACAATGTGTGAAGTCCATATCTGGTGTCCCTACCGTGATATTGCTGAAATATTGTTGAAACGACATCAAACTAAACATATTTACTCTTTCAGTCGTAAAGATATGTCTAATTGATGGACTCCATCAATCTCTAATTGAGATTTTGCAATTTATCAAAACTCACCCATACACTGCACTAATAGCAATTACTGTAAGTGCATTAATAACAAGTTGTAATTCAACCATTTTTTGGAAGTCTTCTGTAATACTGATGATATCATTTTCAAATACAAGTATTTCAACTAAATTATTTCAATGAATTATCAATTAGTTATTACCAAACAAAGCTATCTGCATCAATACCAAAACATTCATTAACATGCCCCTAGAATGTGTATTTTACTGGGATAAGAGTGTGTCAAAATCAAAGACACATCAAATATACAAAACCCTCATAAATATAAAATGGGTATAAAACCTATATTGATATCACCTAAAACATTATAGATTTGTTTATATGATATTTCCAGCATTACATGCTCGTGGAAATATCATCGTGTTAGGGAAAAAACATCAAAATTCATTACGGTATGTATTATGATCAACCCCTCAAAAATATATTTTCCTGAAAATTTTTACTGTATTAAAAAGGATGTGACATAGGTATTAACCTAATTAGAAAATATCTATTTCTTTTTCAAACATGTTTGTTTCACGAACTGAGAGTCATGCACAGCATGTAAGGAATATTAAATGTGTAATACAGATCTGTAAGAGAGACACACTGCAGACAAATACAGCATTAGAGGAACATTGTAGCCCTGAACCATGTAATTACTGAAGTCGGTTACCTGTATGGTGATAATCTTTTGGATGGCCTGTTCTCCATTTCCTATACTGGTACATCCATTTCGCAAAGCATGACTAGTGTATTGCTTGTCAAAACATTATTGATTGATTTACGAAGACCTCTCTGCCTGACTGATTGCATTATCCATCATCTAAATGATTGGAAACTGGGATGGAATCGGT